CCCCTGAGGCCAAAGTCTCCCTAATGCTTTCGGTTGAGGGAAGTGGGTTGAGACTATCACGCTAGACACAGGAATAATCTCTGCTTCTTGGAAGGAGATAACCACATTCCTCCACCGCAAGGCAAGGATCCATCCGGAGCTGGAAGGGCTCTGGTTTAAGTGAAGTAATTTGCCAAAGATGGCAGCCTCTCTAGTGAAGTCCAATTGAATTTTAAAAGCTCCACAGGCATTGCCATTTCCATACAGAAAGTTTAACTTGCTCATACACACAAAGCTAAAGAATGCGCTGAAGATTCCAATTTAATCCCCCCAACAGCTCCTGCGCTCCCAAACAGCACACACAAATAGTACAAATATGTCTGCATATAGGTGTTCTTCCTTTAAGCATTTCTGTTTGGAAAATAACTGATTTCCATTTGACATAGGTTTAGTGATATTTTCTGCTTTGTGTTTTAGCTACACAACAGGACTGGTTTTGGTGATGGAAGACATATCTGTGCTGTTACCTTTAATTTTTTGGTCTTGTTTTGAGGAGCAGAGACGTACACATAAGACTGCAAGGTTTTCACTCAGAGAAATCGAAACTCTCCTCCTCAGCCATTGACAAAGAAAAACACTCACTGCTTGAAATTCTCCCGGTCTGATTTTCTCCCAGGGAACAAACAGAAAATTCAGGTCCAATTGGGGCAAATCAGATATCTATGCAAAAACATGCAGAACAGTTTAAAATTCTCAAGATGTATTACAAACTTTTCCTCTTACAAAGTTACTGAAGTGAGAGAGGGGGAAAAAAATCCTTTCCTGAAATCAGATCGGTTTAATGCTTTTAAGAACTGTCTAGATGATATATTATTAGAACTAGAAATTTATACACCCTTCTGAGAAAAAAAAATGCCTCTACTTACAAATTCTGGGTAGCTTTCTAACATCCCTAACTAAAAACCAAACGCAAACACATACATTCCACCACTGCCAACAAACGAAAGAACAAAAACCTGTGCAATGCTACTGCTAAAGACAGAACACGTTCTTGGTAAAACGGCACTGAAAATGAAACTTCTAAAAGAAATAAAAAGCAAAATCAATGAAAAAAATTACCCGAGGTTTATAGTTATAGCCGCAATCATCACAGGACAGCTATTCATGCTTTAATTAAAAAATTAATTTGACTTTTAAATTTAAAAAATCATGAAAACATTCAACTTTTTTGTGGCTTGATAACCTTAAATATTTACCTATTTGATAAGTTGACTAAGCAGTTGCACGTATAAAGAAGATGATCCATTAAATGCATGATACGTCTATTCATTAAGTAATTTTTGTGTCGAGAACTTATGAAAACAGTACAATTTCCAAAAAAATCGTCGTATGTTAGCTTGATGTTTCCTGTAGTGGATAGAATGTAGATTTTCTCAAAAAAGGAATAATTTCATTTTTTGTGCATGCATCTAAATAGTGCTTCTCCCTCAGAGAATTTGCCACTTGTTTTACTTTAATCTTATATAAGAAAGGGGGAGGGGGATTGGATAAACGTACAATGTGACAAAAGCAGAGGAGACAGATACACCCTATTAAAATAAAATCAATTGCTTCCGTGCTCATTTACTTTTTCTAACCGTAATTAGCTAAACTATCTGGAACAAAAAAACCTGTTATTAGTTGAGCACCAGCTCGCTGGAGGATTTCAAAGATGCTCTTTTACGACAAGAGAACGCAAATACTCCCGAACGCTAGTTAGTGTAACTGGATACTAGTTGGAACCAGATTCGAGTTCTGATAAGTGACTCGGAGACCCCGAGCGCTGCCTTAGAGGAAAGAGGGCTCTGGCGTTTTCCTATCAAACAGAAGCGCGCAGCTCCAGCTCCGTGCGCGCGGGGCAGCCGGCTTCGGGTCTGGGAAACCAGGCGGAGGATAACTTCGTTAGGACGCTCAGCCGCAGGCTACCAGATCTGCCAAAGGGCGCCTGAACAACCGGGAGAGAATGTTTGGAGAACAACTGAGATCCCTGCGTTGGGCAAAAGACCTAGAGCTGCTCTAGATAGAGGAGTTGCCCTCGCGTGCGCTAGATCAACCCTGCACAGAGGTGGCGGAGAGGCAGAAACGGAGGGAGGCGGCCCAGAAAACACCCTCAGGGCCTCTTAGCGCGACGTTCGGTCCCCCCACAGGCCCCTAGCACCGCAGGAAGGCTCGGACTGTGCGCTCCCGGGGCGGAACGCCCTGGAGCGACGCAGTTTGGTATGGGAAGGGGAGGGGGCTCAGGAAAGTCCCTCAGGCCTCCATCAAGGCTACCTGGGTCGTAGTGGGGCTGGCAGGTTTCTGGAGACAGTGGGGCGTGGGGAGAGCCTCGTGCACTCCCAGGACGCGGGGCCCAGGTGGACACCTTAGGCATCAGGATGTGCGTGGGGGGTGTGGGGTGGGGTGACTCCAGGTTCCAAGCGCCAAAGCCCCGGTTCCTGGACAGGGCGATCTAGGAAGGAAGCTAGGCTTACAGAGGGGCCTAGGAGTGGAGAAGCAAAGAAAACTGCAGGTTCCGCTGGGAAATTCGGTAGAGAGCTGGAGTTCGGTAACTGACAATTTAAGGGGGGAGGTGTTGTCCCTCCCCGCTTCTTCCTGAGTATAGAAATGACCCCTGGAAATCACGGGAAAAAATTGAGTGCTACCAGGGAACACACATTCCCAGTGCCCATCTTCCCTGGGGGTGGGGGATCGGGACCGGAGCACAGGCCCCTTTTCTTGAGCCCCCCACTCACGGACACACACACTTTAGGCCCCGCACCCAGCAACGCCGCGCACTCACCCCCACCTCTTTCTGGAGCTCTCTGCGCGAGCGTGCTCCCAGCCGCAGCCAAACTCTTGGCGTGTTCTCCTCCGCAGTCCCCGGGCCTAGTTTGGAGATGCCGGCCCTGCCTGGGTCGCCTAGAGTCTCGGGATGCAAAGACAAAAGGCCCCGACGCCTGTAGGGCGGCAGAGGCCCGGCTCTCCGAGGGTCAGGGTCGTCCCCGCGGGCCTCCTGCTGCCCCACCCTAACTACTCGCAGGCGCACGTGGCCGGCTCCGCATCGCAGCTCCCCAAGCGGCCTCCCGGGCCGACTCCCCGCACCATTTCCGCTCGCTCCAGAGCAGCCCCGCCTCTCCCCCCTCCCGACCCGCTGCTCCCTCTCTCCCCGGCCCGGCCCGGGGCACCCTCTCCGCGCCCCCCCTCGGCGTACCGCACCGCCGCGCTCCACTCGCGCCCGCGCACCCCAGTCTGTGGCCTCCGGGGGGCGTTGTCCGTGGCTCCGCAACTTCCCGCCTCCCGTCCAGTCCAAGCTGGTCTCCCCCAGCTCCATCTTGGCCGCTGGAATGCGTGGGGGCGGCCAGGACCGGATGAGGGGCGCACGATGGGGCCCCAAACCGGTTCCTAAATTTCCAGGCCCAGCGCGGCTAGTGGGTTTCCTGTTGGGCCTCGCAGCAGAGCCCGCATCCCCAACCCCCCTTTGCACCTCTCTGGACTGGAGGTGGGGAGCAAATACTTATTGTGTGAAAGGATGATCCCCACCAGCGTGGAGTTCACAGAACCTCACGGGACCCCTATGTTCGCCCAGGAAATATGGAGAGTTTCACAGGGACGCCAGGAAGAGTGGTTAGGAGGAACTAGAAAGATTCCTGCAGTGTTGAGGCCTAGTGCCTGGTGCCGGGTTTCATAGTGGACAAGTCAGGCTGTATGGTTGGTCACCTCCTTCCTGGGAACAGGCACCTCTTCAGCCACCAGGGCAGCTCACGACACAGTCACTGCTTGGGCTCTGCGGTGGTTTAGCTTGGCTTGGGTTAAGCGCCTAACACGTGCAGGGCCTAACCTGTTGGGCAGATTTAACGTTAGGTTCCCTGCCTCCACCCCTCCCCCCAAAAAAAATTCCTGCAGACGGTATTGCTGTCTTCCTTTTGGTAGACAAAGAAACTGAGGCTTAAAAACGTTCAAGGACACACACTGAATTACGTCAGGGTTGGAACTCAGAACTGTCAGGCAACGGAGCACAGTAAAAGCTCCTTCTTCCTCTCACCTGCCTGCATAGTGCAGCGGCTGCGTTGGCCTGGCCACGGTGACAGATGCAGCAGCCGGAGCCTTGCCCTTGGGGACACACAGGCAGGCGATATGGTGACAGCACTAGGTGGGAGGCATCAGTGACATGAACATTTTTTACTTACAAGTGCTCAGGGAAGGAGAGATAACTTCCGACTGGGCTACAGTAATCATTGGAGAAGGTGGCATTTATTTGAGCAACCTTTGGAGAAGAGTTTCCAACGTATGGAGGAGACAAGGTCAGGGGGAAAAAACTCAAAAGGGGGGTGGGAAGGGTACAGCTTGAGCAACTAGATGAAAGGGGCAAGTCGTCCATCCACAGACACATAAAATATTCCTGCTCCTTAAGAATCCTGATTCCGGTATTTACAAACCGGGAAGTTTTCCTGCCCCAGCAGTTGCTGGTCAAACGCTCCCTCTTGGGCCATCCTTCCAGGCAGGTCGTTTTCTGGACCAGAAGTCTCCCAGAACTGGCCCGGACCGGGAAGGTGCGGACAAGTGCAGCGGGAATCGTGATTGAAGCACTTAGGTCAGTACAGCCTGGCTCGCAGCGACTTGAACTTCGCGACTCTATACTAGTCCTTGTCTATTTCTGGTAGCGCCACCAGTCCGCGACTCCGGGGATGCTGGGGGCGTGGTCCACGTGAGCCGAGCCAATGGCGAGAGAGGCCGAGGCGAGAGCCCCGCCCCCGGCGTGACGCACGACCCTCGGACACAGGCTTCGCAGGCCAGGCCCCAGTCCCTGCAGTGGCTGTAACAAAACCCAGACCCCCAGGTCCGGGCCAATGGAGGCGATTTAGACTGGAGCAGGACTGCGTCTGTCAAAAAACCCTACTCAGCAGCGGCGGCAGAGTCCAGAAGCAGAGCTGGGGCCGGCGCGCTGCCTCCCCGCCCCCGCCGGGATTTATTGAGTATTTGGACTGGACAATTAAGTGGCCCTGATGATGTTACCAAGCCCGGTCACCTCCACCCCTTTCTCAGTCAAAGACATTTTGAATCTGGAACAGCAGCAGCAGCAGCAGCAGCAACAGCACTTCCACGGCACGCACTTGCAAGCGGACTTGGATCACCACTTCCACTCGGCCCCCTGCATGCTGGCCGCCGCCGAGGGGACGCAGTTTTCCGACGGCGGGGAGGAGGATGAGGAAGAAGAGGGCGAGAAACTGACCTACTTGAACTCACTAGCCGCAGCCGAGGGCCACGGCGATTCGGGGCTCTGTCCCCAAAACTACGTGCACACGGTTCTGCGAGACTCATGCGGTGGGCCCAAGGAACACGAAGAGGGGCCAGAGATCGTGAGGGACCGGAGCCAAAGTGAGTAAAGGCAGTGTGTGGGGGGGGGGGGGCTGGGGGGACGGGCGAGGGGGGAAAAGCATCTCACATCTGGAGCAATGGCGGGGCGCCCACAAATTGCCCAGGAATCTCGCCGTTGGGATCTATGCCTGGTCAACCGCAGCCACGGAAAGCGCAGGTGCCAGCGAGGACGCCCGGGTGGAGGGAGAAGGACGAGGTGACCGAGATGACCGGTGCGGCTGCCTCTCCACCCCTGCATAGGGGGAAGAGGGGGGGCACACACACAAAAGGAAAGTCTTTTTTTTTTTCTAGCCCCGATGTTGATCAGGGACCTGGGCTCAGCGTCTGGGTCCTTGCCCTTGCCAAGAGTTGTAGGGACAGGAGGCTGAACCCTTTCCGCTTGCCCGCTAACATGACTTCTCCGGGAAGCCTTCCGCTGCAGCATGATCCACGCAGGCTGTGTCTCAGCATCCGCAGGACGCAGGAAGTTCAGTGGAGGCCAGCGGGGTGCTGTCCTCCCTTCTCTGTTTGGAGCCCAGCGTTGTCCACTCAACCATGTCCCTGAAAATGGTAGGAGGGAACATGGCCTGTCCCTGCCTCTCCTCGGGGCTGGCCTTGTTTTTGATCTTAACAGTGAGCTTTCATGTCCCAGGCTGTGGCACTGTGGGCAGAGGGAGAACTCCTGAAACTTAAACTGAAGTCCCGCTTGGGACGGGAGCAGAAGTAGAGAGAGCGCTCAGGTAACTAAAGAAAGCCCCTCCAGGAAGTGTTTGTTTTGGAGGAGAAAGAATCGAAAATTCTTGTTCTTTTTCTTTCCTGGAGAGATAGGCCAGGCAGAAGCTAAGATCGAATGCCTAGCAGTAAACTTGGGGCCAAATTCCACAAAAAAAAAAAAAGGTCCCAGTTAGTCCATTCTATTTATTTCTCTCAGGAGAAACGCAGACGTCTTCACTTAAACATTTATCTATGGGTGTGAAACCTTTAAAAAGAAAGGGGGAGGGGTGGCTGAGCAATGAAGAAGCTGTTAAGCGCTACCATTGAGAAAATTTTATGCAAACACGGGCTCCTAAATACCGACACATCTCACCGCATCAGCAACCCGTGAGAGAGGGAAAGAGGTGAAAGAGAACAAGTTTGCAAAAACCCTTACTTGTTACAAGTAAGTAGTTGCAGCTTTCATCCCGAACATAATCATTAGCACGCCCGGGCCCCGCATGCAATACAGGGTAAGTCCTTCCTTGTCTCTCCCTAAAAAAGAAGGCGCACAAACTATCCCTCCCCGTGGAGCGTGCCACTGCCTGCCCAGGACACCAACTGCCACCAACTTATTCCCTCTCACCCACCCCTCAGCTCAAGCATTTAGTGCAGCACGCTCCGCTCAGTCGCCTGCACGAGGCCACGGTTCTGCGAGACCGAGGCGCCCGCCGGGTGGCCGGGACAGCTAAGGGACGCTGTTGTTTTGCTTCTTCTGCAGAAAGTTGCCAGCTGAAGAAGCCTCTGGAGGCGAGCGGAGACTGTAAAGCGACGGAGGAGAGCGAGCGGCCGAAGCCCCGCAGCCGCCGGAAGCCCCGGGTCCTCTTCTCGCAAGCTCAGGTCTTCGAGCTGGAGCGCAGGTTCAAGCAGCAGCGGTACCTGTCGGCGCCCGAGCGCGAGCACCTCGCCAGCAGCCTGAAGCTCACGTCGACGCAGGTGAAGATCTGGTTCCAGAATCGCAGGTACAAGTGCAAGCGACAGCGGCAGGACAAGTCCCTGGAGCTGGGCGCCCACGCGCCGCCGCCGCCACCGCGCCGCGTGGCCGTGCCGGTGCTGGTGCGGGACGGGAAGCCGTGCGTCACGCCCGGAGCTCCAGCCTACGGCGCGCCCTACAGCGTGGGCGCGGGCGCCTACTCGTACAACAGCTTCCCCGCCTACGGCTACGGCAACTCGGCCGCGGCCGCGGCCGCCGCTGCTGCTGCCGCCGCCGCCGCTGCGGCCTACAGCGGCAGCTACGGCTGCGCGTACCCGGCGGGTGGCGGCGGCGGCGGCGGCGGCGGTGGCGGCGGCGGCGGCGGCGGGGCCTCGGCGGCGGCCACCGGGATGCCACCCGCCTGCAGCGCGGCCGGGGGCGGGCCCTTTGTGAACGTGAGCAACCTGGGCGGCTTCGGCGGCGGCGGGGGCGCGCAGCCGCTGCACCAGGGGGCCGCGGCCGGGGCGGCGTGCGCTCAGGGCACCTTGCAGGGCATCCGGGCCTGGTAGGGACGGAGCAGGTCACGCGGCGGCCGCCCCACCGCAGCCTGGCGCCGCGGGACTCTAGCTCGAGAGAAAGGCTGGATCCGAGGGCCAGACCCCTCTCGTTAAAAAAAAAAAATGAAAAGAAATGAAAGAAGAAAAGAAAAGGACACGTCTCACTCCCCCAGAGTCCCCCGGAGCTCAGTTCAAGCGAGGCCTGCAGGATGCGGCGGAGGGGGGGAAGGGAGGGGGTCCGAGCGCGGAGACTGTCGCAAAACGAAAATCCCGTCCAGGGGGGCTGGGGAGGATGATGGTCCCTGACCCCAACCCGTCCCAGGGGAGTGCGAGAGGCTGGAACTCTGGCTGCCTCGTTCTGCTTCTTCCAGAGCGAGGAGAAGGACTTCTCTCCCTTGGCCATTCCGCAGCCTCCGCCAAGCGTTGGCAGCGCACTCAAGGACAAAAAGAAAATAAAGTGGAAAAGAAACAAAATCTTTTTTAAGCATGAAGGAGAGTCAAACGAGGGTGGGGAGTCGCGGCTTGAGAAATCCCCAGGCCCTGGAGAACCCTCTGTTCGCTCGGCGGGCCCAGAGCCCAGAGCCAAGAGAGTTTTCCCGCGCCCACCTCCTGCCCTCTGCAGCGGACACCTGGGGCCGGAACCACCGGGCTGTCCAGGAGCAGAAAACTCTTTGAGAGGGAAAAAAAACAAATTCAGCCCAGCGAGATCAAAAGTTGGGGCGGGATCTGGTGGCCCAGCGAAGGTGTGACCGGTTTCCTTTCTGTTTCATATTCTGTATCCAGCACATTTAATATATATCTAACTATATCCACACGCCGTGTACACGCCCGCTGCCATACACTACAGGAGTCAATAAACAAGGTGCAATATTTCCAAGCCTGGGCCTGCTACCGACTTTGTTTACCACCCCCAAGTGGGGAGGAAGGGTCCTTGAAACCGGGAGGGAAGGAAAAGTGGCCGCGAGGGAGTGGGGAGAGTGGACTTCCCTGGGCCATCGCAGGCCTGGTTTCCCGTGCGCCAGACCCGGGGCTGGCTCAGGCCTGATCTCTTCTTGCCTTTGTTGGTTCATTTCTCTTTTTATTCCTGTAGGGAGGACAGACAGGTCGCCGGCGAAGGACCTTTCTTTCGAGGTTCTGGGGCTTCTAACGCCCTCCCCTAGTTTTCCCCCGATGTTTTGCGCTCATGTCGGAGGAGTCTGCGTCCCGTCCAGCTTTCGCCAGTCCCACCTCGAGCGAGGGACCGCTCCGGGCAAGCGGACCTCCCCGATCCCCCCCAAAAGGCCCAGCGACTTGGGGCGGCGGCGCGGAGGCGGCTCCTTCGCCGCCGCCGCCGCAGGGGCTTGCGGCGCGCCCGGGGGTCGCTGCCGTGCGCCCCGCCGCGGCCCCGCTCTCCCCCGCGGCCGCCCTCCCTTCTCCCCCGGCGGCCGCGGCTTTATGCGAGTCCTTGTCACTTGCGGAGAATGGCTGCGCGGGGCCGGGGCTGCCACACGGCCGATTGTGAGCGTGCCAAGGCGGTGAATGGGGAGGCCTCAGCGCGCCGCGGCATTGTGGGGCCGCGCCTGGCTGAAAGGCGGCCCCGGGCCGGGAAGGTGCGGAAAGAATGGCTTTTTATTGGAGTCCCGAACAAAAGGTGTGGTAGGAAGGCGAAGTCCCCTGCGCGAACAAAAACCCCCGGCGCTTCGGGATTGACGTCGCCCCCCTCCAGCTCCCTATTGCTTCTCAGAGCCCAGGCTTTGTGCAGGAGTCTGCTCGACAGAGGGACGGGGAAATGCGCGGGGGTTTTGTTCCCCGCGTTTTGTGTGCTGGGGGAGGGGGTGCCCGGGGGCTGGGCGGGCAGCCGGGAGGGGCGCGCTGATTAGGCCCCGGCCGGGCGCCGGCGCGGACACTTTCAGCGGGAGTCGGCGGCGTGAAAGCGGGTCATTATTGCTACAAGTTTAGCAATTTCGCCCTTCCAGGAGGGGGTAGGGGCTGCGGCGGCGGCGGCGGCGGCGGGGCCCGCCCTGTTGGGGAACTGCAGAGACCCGGAGGGAGGAGGATGGAGAAGGAGGAAGGAGAAGAAGGAGAGGGAGGAGGGAAAAAGAGGAGAAGGAAGGAAGAAATAAAGAGCAGAGGAGGAAGGGACGGATGCAGACGAGGGAAGCCTCCCAGGCCTGCTGACCGCCCAGGATGAGGCTCGGTCGCCTCCAAAGGGCATAGAGGGGGACGGGGGCGGGGCGAAGACCCTCGCTCCCTCCCCTCGCCTCTCTTGAGGTTGAAAGACCCCCCGGAGCCTCCCTTGTGTTAGCGCACCGGACTGCAGGTCATTCCGCTCCTGACCCGCGGTGCCCTCCTCATTGGCCCTCGCGGAGCCGGGGACACCGTCCCCCGCCTCCCAAGGACCGCTCTCACCTTGGTGCCTTCCTCAACCCCCTTCCTGGGGAAACCTAACTCTTCTGCAGATATAACCGGGCCCGGGAATTGCCCAGGCTCGGGGCCTGGGAGAGAATTCTCCTTTCCTAACACATCCCGCTGACTGCAGCTAGCAAGGACTCATTTACTCCTTCACTCACCGTTCCGCAGCGTTTGCGGAGCACCCCCTAATAAAGGTGCGCTTGTCCTTCCCAGGTGCTTGGGATGGTGGAGAACCACTGCTGCCGGCCGATGGCACTTGATCTGTCATGTGTGTAGTTGGTGTGTATGTGTGTGTGTGTGTGTGTGTGTGTGTGTGTGTGTAGACAACTAAATGTTTAAATAAAAGTAGATAAGAAGAAGAGAGATAGTATAGGGGTTAAGGCGCTTGACTTGCATGAGGCCGATCCTCGTTCCATCCACAGCCCCCCTAGATGGTCCCCGAGCCCCACCAGGAGTGATCCCTGCATGCAGAGTAAGCCCTGAGCAACACCAGGTATGGCCCCCTAAAGAAAACAGAAAATAGTAGTAGATAGGGGCCAGAGGAATAGTACAGCAGGTAGGGTAATTGCCTTGCATGCAGCCCACCTGGGTTCAATCCCTGGCATCCCACATGTCCCCCAAGCACCGCCAGGAGAAATTTCTGAGTGTAGAGCCAGGAGTAATCTCTGAGCACTGCTGGGTATAACCCAAAAAGCAGGGTGAAAAATAGTAGTAGATAGATTAGATTCCAAAAGGTAATCAACCAGGTGCTGGAGGAAGGACTTTTTGCAGCAGGTGACCTCAGAAAGCTGATGCCAGAGTGACAAAAAGGAAGCAGTGAAAGGCAGGTTCTGCCCTGGTCTCTGTCACTGCCTCTTGTCCTGCAGAATGCCCTTCCAACCCACCTCGCTCAGCTCAACTCTTGCTCCACCTTCACGGCTGGAGTTTCTTTATTTAAAGGCATTTTAAAATATATTTAATTTTTTTCTCCCATTGCTCCCCTCACCTCCCCACCCCCCTCTCTCTGCCAGAGTTTCTTTCTTGAACCATCCAAGAAAAGTTCGGCCCCGCCTCCTATGTACCCCCAGAGTCTTAGGTACTTTCCAATGCCACAATTGAGTGCAACATTTTCTCTCTCTCCACCTGAGGTCGCAGTGAGGTCGTGGGGGGACCATGGGGCATCTTGCCCCTGGGACAAGAGGGTACTAAGAGAGCATGGGACTCCTTCAGCAGAGCCTTTTCCTCAGGGCTTGGGGGCACTTGGTGACACTCCCGGTGTGAGGTCACTTCCTGTGTGTGGAGTGACACTGACTGCTGGCGACCAGGGGTGTGTGAAATATTCCCAGAATCGCCCAGGGAGGAGCTGCCTGCCCTCCCAGATCCCAGGGGCGGGGGCTGGCTGACCACAGGGCTTCCCAGAAGGTCTGTTGCCCAGCAGTTCAACCCCCAGGACAGGACGTTGAAGACGTGGTAGAGATCCTGACCCTTGGACACAAAGTTTAGAGACCGTGGGACTCTGGGGGAGTAGAAATGGAGAACTGGGATTTAGGAAATAAATCCTGGGGATCTGCACCTGGGACCCAATCCCTCCCTGGAAAACCTGGGGGGGTAGAATGAGTGAGTTGCCCAGTGGAGCCCTACTCCTACAACTGATTTTAGTGCCTGCGTGCTCAAACCCCAGGTTCTTAGTCACTGCCTAATGCTCCTCCTTGCTCTTGGGGCTTTCCTATACAGGAGAGCAGCTTCCTTTTCTAATGCCTTCTGGCATCCTGCAGGACCCTGGCCTCTCTGCACACCCAGCACCTGGGCTCCACTTTCCTCATCTGACTTGCTCACTCCTGTTCTACCTCAATTGGCCTTAGTTCTGCATCCTCTTCTGTTCTGGAAGAGAGAGGAGTGACCCTCTTGGAGGAAACAGGGCAGTTTCTGTGGTTTGACTTCCATGCCCTTTTGTGTGTCTTCAGATACTTAAAGACAAGACAACCAGCCCCCAACCCTAGCCCCTCCACCCACTCTACTCTCTGCCCTGAAGTTTGAGAGTATAAATAGCTCTCATCTCCTAACTGAAGGATTTCCGCTGGGGGCCCTGACCAGCAGGGAGGGAAAATCCTTGACCAGGATCCCCCTTGGAGATCAGGACTCCCGATTCACTGGGTCCATTTTCCCAGGAAGCAGGAAGAAACACACTATCTGGAACAAGTGGAGGAAAAGTTGCCCCTCTGGGGGCTGGAGCGATAGGACAGCAGATAGAGCACTTAGCCTCGCACATGGCCAGCCTCAGTTCAATCCCCACCACTCCATATGGTCCCCAGAGCACGGCCAGGAGTGGTTCCTAGAACAGAGCCAGGAATAACTGCTGAGCATTGCTGAGTGTGGGCCCAAAACCATCCAACCAAACAAAAAGTAGCTCCTCTGGGCTCTGGTTTCTGAGCTCCAAAGCAGAGAGAGAGAGAGGGCTGGACTTTATGATTTTAGTCATCACGTCCTTGCTTCTCGGAACCAGTGGGTCCTCACTTTCTACCTAGTGACTGGTGGTACCACTTGAGCACAGGTGGTGGAGCACATGCTGAACACCTATGAGCCCTTTGGTTCATCCCTGTTCCTCTGGACACCGCTGAGCTCAGCAGGGTGGGACGAAAAAA